ACTGTGCTTTGCGTCCTTCTGCAATAATAAGTCACAGACATTAGAACAATTATATGCTGAGGCTTGGCAAATCATAGTAACTGGAAGTGGTCTTCAGGACCCTGTGACACACATCCGCACAGTCATAACAGTCAAAAATGTCTATATATTGGCAAATGTCTGCTGGGGGACAAAATCCCTCCCTTTCTTTCCAAGAGAGCCACCAATCTAGCCCAAAACGGGACTTCAATAAAGGTTTGAGTTGAAGTGAACTGAACTAAACTGAATTGAATTAAATAATTTTCAGAACAACTTTAGGAGGAAAAAAAGAGAAAAAGAAATGAATACAAACTTTTAAATCACACAACTGATTTAAGTTTAAGTAAATGCTCACAGAAGCAGCAAACAGAGAAGCAACTCTTTTCTCCACTTAGTTATTTCTATCTCATGCTACACAAATATGCCAAATTAAGACTGTAGGCACATAACAGAAACTTGTACTGCCCCAAAGGGTACTGGCTGGACCTATATAGATCACCCTTTCTCAGTTTATAAAAATCTCACCTCAAAATAAGGCACTGAATCATATCAGTTCCTTCTGTCCATGAATTCACTGTGAGAATTATTTGTGAATTTCCATTTTGATGATAATAAAAAAAATTAGTATGGGAATAGTTTTGCTCATACTTAATGATGAATACTGCTAAAAAATATTCAACATCCAAGTTTGTATTCAGTGGGCTAATGAGATGAGAGGAACACTTAATATGTAAATCATATAAAGCAGTATAGTAAAATGCAGATAAAATCTAGGCTGTGGGTATACATTATGTTCGGTGTAAAATTTTTTAAACTTTGCTATCTGTTTGGAAACTTTCATAACAAAATGTTGGGAAAAATATGAATCAGGCATCCATAACATATGAGGATAAATGATGTCACAATATGCCACATAAAGGGAAACTTCTAATAGTTCAAAAAGAAAACATGGTTTAAAAAAAAACTACATTATCACCCAACATACAACAGTATAGGCACATCAAACCCAACAAACCTGTAAGTAACTGCATATTCACCTTAAAGGTGTAATTCCATTTCAAAGAAACAGCATCAGCTATCATACTAAATTATGTCAATCTGAATGTTACTAGTTTTGTAGATGTGCTTGTATTTAATTTGTAAATTTGTTTCAGTTTTGTAGTTGTATAAGCACAAAGAGTTTAGATTGGTTTTTATTTATATTTACTTATAACAAAAATAATTAAAATGCAAGGGACCTTGCATAGTCAGAAAAACTCTGAAAAAGAACACAGCCTGAGCAATATCACAAAACCCCATCTCTACAAAAAATCAGCCAGGCATGGTGGCATGTGCCTGTAGTCCTAGCTACTTGGGAAGCTGTGGCAGGGGGATTGCCTGAGCCCAGGGGTTCAAGACTGCAGTGAGCTATGATCCCACCAATTTGATCCAGCACTCCAGGGTAACAGATCGAGACCTTGTCTCGTAAAAAAAAAAAAAGAAAAAGAAAAAAGAAGAACAAAGTTGGAGAACTCACATTTATTTCAAAACTTAATACAAAGCTACAATAACCAAGACAATATGGTACTGGTATAATAACAGACATATAGACCAACAGATTCGAATTGAGAATCCAAAGATAAATCCATGTACCTATGGCCAGTTGACTTTTATCAAAGGTACCAAGACCATTCGATGGCAGAAGACTAGTTTTCAACAACTGCTGCTGAGGCAACTAGACATACACAAGCAAAAGAATGACGTTGGACCCCCACCTTATACCACATACAAAAATTAATTCAAAATGAACCACAGACCTAAATGTAAGAGCAAAAACTGCAAAACTCTCAGAAGAAAACGTAAGGGTAAATCTTCATGGCCTTAGATTAGGCAATGGTTTCTTAAAAATGACAACAAGACTACAAATCACCAAAGGAAAAGCAGATAAATTGACTTCATCAAAACGAGGAACTTTCGTGCATCAAAGGATACGATCAAGAAAGTGAGGCCAGGCGCGGTGGCTCACACCTGTAATCCCAGCACTTTGGGAGACAGAGACGGATGGATCACCTGAAGTTGGGAGTTCGAGACCAGCCTGACTAACATGGAGAAACCCTGTCTCTACTAAAAGTACAAAATTAGCCAGGCATGGTGGCAAATGCCTGTAATCCTAGCTACTCAGGAGGCTGAGGCAGGAGAATCACTTGAACGTGGGAGACAGAGGTTGCAGTGAGCCAAGATCACGCCATTGCACTCCAGCCTGGGCAACAAGAGCAAAAGTCCATCTCAAAAAAACTGAAAGTGAAAAGCAATATATAGGATGGGAGAAAGTATTTGCAAATCATATCTCTGATGAGGGTCTAACATCTGGAATAGATAAACAATTCTTATAGCTTTACAACAAAAAAAAAATCAGTTTTAAAATGGGCAAATGATCTGAATAGATACTTCTCCAAAGAAGTTATATAAATGGCCAATAAGCACATGAAAAGATACTCAAAATTATTAGTCATTGGGGAAATGCAAACCAAAACCACAATGAGATGCAACTTCACATCCACTAGAACAGCTAGAATAAAAAACACAGGCAATAACAAGGGCTAGTTAGGATATGGGGACGTTGAAACCCTCATACATGGCTGGTGGGAATGTAAAATGGTGCAGCCCCTTTGGAAAACAGTTTGGCAGCTCCTCAAAAAGTTAAACACAGAGCTACCATATGACCCAGCAGTTCTGCTTCTAGGTCAAGAGAACTGAAACTAGTTTTACACAAAAACTTGAATACAAATGTTCATAGCAGCAGTACTCGTAAGAGCTAAAAGGTGGAAATAATCCAAATTTCCATCAACTGATAAAGAGATGAACAAAATGTGGTATATTCATATAATGAAATATTCAGCCAAAAAAGAAATGAAGTACTGACTCCATGCTACATGAATACAACTTGGAAACATTGTGCTAAGTGAAAGAAGACAGGTACAAAAGACCAGTTATAGTATATTCATAGGAAATGGCCAAAATAGGCAACACCATAGAGACAAAGAGCAGATTAAAGATTCTTGCTGGTGACAGAGGTAAGGGCTGACTGCTATTGGATATTAGGTTTATTTGTGCAGTGATGAAAATGCTCTAGAATTAGGTAGCAGTGCTGATGATAGTTACATAATTTTGTGAATAAACTAAAGACCACTAAATTGTACACATTAAAAGAGTAAATTTTATGGTATATAAATCAATCTCAATTTTTAAAATAAAATAAGTCAACTCTGGGAGTCCACTAAGGGAGAAAAATCCAGGAAGATGGCCTAAGCAGCGAGTTTATAAGCACTCCGTCTTGCTTTGCACTTGCCTAAGGGTAGAGACAAAAATGTCTCAAGCTCACCTGGGTTCTGCACATCGTCTACATAACAAAATTTGCTAAACGAATGGCTAATGTAAGTTTCCAAATTTGGTCCCAGGCCACAAGGTAGAATACACACAGGAGAGAGATGCCTTCTCCTGAGAAAAGTTCTCTTACTTCTCAGAGTCTACAAGGTTTCTAAGGGGAAATCTGAGATACTTAAAGAATGCTTATAATGTTCGCCAAGCAAACTATTTCCATGAGACCCATTTCTAAAAACAAATACGACATTTTTAGTGTCACAATTTATAAAGTGGTCACCTCTGCTTCTGAGCTCTTCTACGTAAGTAAACGATGCTTTTATTATCATGTTTGTTTAAAAGCTCATTGAGATTCTCACCAGGAAATAGCACAATTTTTACACAGACTACAGAAAAAAAAGGTTACGTCTACGTTCCACATCCATGCTGACAGCTCTTTTCATTTACTCCTTCAAATATTAAAATATAAGCCAGACACTGAAGAGATGGTAGTTAAAAAAAAAAACATCTGGAGGCAGTGGCATGGGCTTACAGTCCTGCTACTTGGGAGGCTGAGGCAGGAGGATCGCTTGAGCCCAAGAGTTTGAATCTAGCCTGGGCAACATAGCCAGACCCTGTCATTTAAAACAACAAAACAAAACAGAAACCTAACCTCAGCTTCACTGCACTTAGAAAATTCAAAAATCCAAACAAGACAGGTTTCGAGCAAGTCATCACAATGGGTATCATGTGTGTCATCCTTGAAGACGTGTAGGCTGCTGTCAGAGCATAAAGCAGGGGAGCCAGAGCACGGGTCACGAAAGCACCCCTTCCACCCTGCCCCAGTAGGTGGTTTCAAGCTGAAACCTCACAAGGCTCTCTATCATCTGACCACTCTCTCCATCTCTAGCTTTGTGTCTGAGAACTTTTTGCTTCTTTCAGTTCCTAGAACAAGCTGTGCTCTCTGTTTTTGCACAAGTAGGATGTTACTTGATGAAGACGAGGAACAAAATCTGCGGACAGTGGAGAGTATGCCTGCCGCCCAGAAAAACTGACAGGGCACAACTTGTTCTAGGAAATAAAAGTAGCAAAAAGTTCTCAGACATAAAGCTAGAGATGGAAATAATGGTCAGATGATAGAGAGCCTTGAAAGATATTTTAGGGACTGTGGGCTAAGGCCCAGCGTGCATCTTACCCTAAGGGCAATGTGAAGCCAGGGAGCAGACTTGAGGGTAGCAAGACCAGAGTCAGGGAAACCAAATAGGAAGCTGTTTCAGCAATCCAATGGAGAGATGACAGGAACCTAGCCTAGGGTAGGGGTGGAGGAGTCGGGGAGCAGACAGACCTAGGAAGTATGTAGGATGTAGAATCAATAGGACTTCCTATGGGAAACAGAGGAGAGAAAGGAGTTAAGGACACCACACAGATTTCTGGTTTAGAAAGCTTGGTAGTCAGTACTGTGAGTTTACAGACAGAGAGAAAACCTCAGGATGAATGAGACTGGTGTGGAGGTGGGAATATGGGTGCCTCAAGGACTCTGGCCTGTAACTGATGCTTTGGTTGCTGTGATACCCACCCCGCTAAATCTCATCAGCATCTCAGATTCAGTAAAGGCACACCTGGCTGGGATGAATGTACCTTACCCTGGTCCTTTCTCTGGAAGATCCACCTCAGCTGACAGTGGACTATAGACAGGAATGCTGACATCGTAGCCTTGCCGGTAAGTCCACGTAGAAAAGCCGCCACCAGCCAACAGGGCCCTGAGAGCAAAGGATGTTGTTAAATGATGAGAAAGAAAGGACTTTATTCTGACATGCACTGTGGAGAGGAATAGGAATTACTGAGTCTTTATTATCAAAACCAGCTAATGTTTACTGAGTCATTTTTCTATAAAGACATGGTGTTAAATGCCTTACACACACATCTCCTGACCGTCAGCTGCATTCTTTCCTTGAATCACCAGCCTTCTCCCAGGGTGCTAAACAGCCTTTCCTTACTTGCCAGTTTTTAAAACATATCACAGCCCAGAGGACACCTTATGGACAGCCTCCCTGCTACCTCTTTCATATCCCATGCACCTCTCCCTCGTCACACTTTATAATTCAACACATTTACAATAACAGGAATAACAGTTCTGCAGGGGAAGACTGGCTGGGGCAGTCACTTACCAACCACTGACTGGAATCTCAGAAGACAACGGGCCTGGTGAGCAGTGGTGGCCAGAAAATATCATATCTCACATTGCTTATATCCCAGATTCTCTCTCCAATCCCTGCCCCAAGTGGTTCTTTCCACCGTCATCCCAGAGCTATGTGTCAATCATGTAGCCTCCACCAGCTCTCACTGTCTCTTCCAGCTACTCAGTCTTACTAACCCAATTCCCTCTACAGGAAGCAGAAGCTAGAATTAAACCCTCAGTGCTTCTCTTGCAGTTTGCTTGTACCAGCCTTTACTCTCCTTAATTGGAAAACAGTGACCACATTGTTTTAACTGCATCCAGCAAGTAGTACAATGACACTTCATCAGCGAAAGGAAGCAGGTGTTTATCACACCAACTTTTACTGTGATTCTGTCCCAGGACCCCAAACTCATCAAAATCACTTTCTAGGGCAGAGCTTTGCCAGTTGCACATACTGTGAAGTCTGAGCCAAGATGTCTGAACAGAGAAACCACATTTTTTTGCAATATTGATTGCTACCAATCCCCTCCCTGCCCTGATGACAACCTACATTCCCTTTTAACACGACCAGTTAAGGTTCAAAAATTTTCAAACCACCCTTGGAAATCCCACTCTGTTTGTTTAAGCTTTATGAAACCAAGAACTGGTGAGTGAGGTAATGTGCAGGCTGAAAACTTCTCCAGCTGCCAGTCTACTCTGTAAAATGTAATGACTATCCTTAGTACCAACATACGGTCTTATTTTTCCTGATTAGCATGCAGCACTGAATCCAACCAACATGAATTTGGGCGGGTTCCATGACCATGATGGCAAGCAGACTCTATGGGCCCCATGGCCTATGTGCAGAGAAGCAGACATGGATGCAATATTCAGCCACCAGGCAGTCCAGGTAAGCCGGGGTCGTGGGCGATTAGGCTGCTAAACTCACAGCCCCAGAGGAGAAGGGATTGTGTATGTGGAGAGAGAGGAAGCAGGTGTCTATCACATCAAGCTTTACTGTAATTCTGTCCCTGGGGCCCCAAACTTGTTATTCTGTCCCAGCGGGGTTAAGGTGCACATTCAGCACTGGCAGTAGGAAAGCAGCAATTGGAAGCATGCCTTACGCTGAAGATCACACATGTGCAATCTCCGTTTGTCATCTTGAAAAGAGCCACCATTGCAATTAGTCAAACTGGCCTCATGCAAAGCCCTGCTACTAACAAGACTTTAACTTTAAGACACTGTATCTTCTTCTGCCAAGGTCTCCATTACATTCTAATGGAGAAAATACTGTAAGAATCCCTTGCTTTACAGAACACATGTTTTACATTGACTGAAAAGTGAATTTCTCAACAGCACATTCTGTTTTCCCATTATGTATCCCAAAATCAGAGATCAGTTCCAAAGCTGCAAGAGACTGAAGAGAAAACCTGCAGCTAAAGAAGTATTAATATGATGATATGACTCAGGCCAAGTATTGTATCACTGGAGGTGTTCTCCAGCATTTTCAGCACTCCACAGGGCTGCCTGATTCTAGGACGCCTCCTTTGACAGTGAGCCTTCCTCCCCAGGGCCTCGTACTCTCCACCTTCCCTAATCCCGTGTTCTGCATACTTTCTCACGGTTCTCCTCCTGCTATCTAAGTATTCACAGTGCCTAAACACAGCAAGGCTGCAAGTTTAGCTTTTGCTTTCCTTTAAACCACGCAGGGAATAAGGCCTGCAAATACTTCAAATATAAAGCTTCAGGCTCTGCATAAAACAAAACCCAAATAAGCTGATTGATTCTATCGGTCATCCTTATTTGTTCACTGACTCAAACAAACTGTAAAACAATATTTGTGAGACAGGTAAATACGAGCAAAGGCTAGATAAGTAGTGACTATGTGGTGATATTGAAAAATTACTGTTAATTTTCTTAGGTATGATAATAGTATTACAGTTAGTTACATTTTTTTAAAAGGCTGCATCATGGAGGGAGATTCACACAAAAATATTTACAGATGTAATGAACTAATGTCTGGGATTTGTTTCTAGACAATCTAGTGGAGGTGGAGGTGGATGAGAGTGAGGATGAAACGAGACAAGCTGCAAGCTAATGATTATCAAAGCTGGACAGCGGATATGTGGGGTTCACCGTACTCGTCTCTCTTCTTTATACAGGTGTGAAATTTTCCATAACAAGTTTAAGCAAATAAATACATACCCACAGAAAAGTAGAAATGTGTGAGAGAGATTTGCAAAGAAAGGATAATCAAAATCCAAGGTAGCAACAGTATTACAGAACAGATCTGAGAACACTAACATCAGTCAAGTCATTAAACATGTATAAGCCATTAAAAATGTCCCATTTATTGGGAGGCCGAGGCGGGTGGATCACGAGGCCGAGAGATCGAGACCATCCTGGTCAACAAGGTGAAACCCCGTCTCTACTAAAAATACAAAAAGTTAGCTGGGCATGGTGGTGCGTGCCTGTAATCCCAGCTACTTAGGAGGCTGAGGCAGGAGAATTGCCTGAGCCCAGGAGGCGGAGGTTGCGGTGAGCCGAGATCGCGCCATTGCACTCCAGCCTGGGTAACAAGAGCGAAACTCCGTCTCAAAAAAAAAAAAAAAAAATGTCCCATTTAAGGTAAAATAAGATGGGTTTGTAGGTGTGCTTGTGTCTAAATCCACAGGAAAAAAACTAGAAGATATATCATATTTTAACAATAAGTATCCTTCAGTAAGGAAGTGAGAACGGAGGAGTGAATCAAAGTAAATTTTTACATTTTACTTACACACGTGCATGCTCTTCAACCCTGTACAAAGTATATATGTATCACGTATACGGATTTTTTTTAATTGAAAGGGAAATAAAAACATTTAAGCAGCATAAGAAAACATATTCACTGATCAGACATTCCCCTTCAGTCCAGGGCCTTGTATTGTATATCCTTGAGTAAAATAATTTTTAAGTAATTACACCTATGACTTTCAACTTTAGGAGTTTGGGTTTTTTTTGTTTTTGTTTTTGTTTTTGTTTTTTTGAGAGGGAGTTTCACTCTTGTTACCCAGGCTGGAGTGCAATGGTGCGATCTTGGCTCACCGCAACCTCCGCCTCCTGGGTTCAGGCAATTCTCCTGCCTCAGCCTCCTGAGTAGCTGGGATTACAGGCACACGCCACCATGCTCAGCTAATTTTTTGTATTTTTAGTAGAGACAGGGTTTCACCATGTTGACCAGGATGGTCTCGATCTCTTGACCTCGTGATCCAACCGCCTCAGCCTCCCAAAGTGCTGGGATTACAGGCTTGAGCCACCGCGCCCTGCAAACTTTAGATCTTAAAGCAGTCTAACCTAGCCCATCTGTTTTCTAATTTCCAAACAATCTGACATGGAGCTCCTGTAAAAATCACTCTGAATTCACGGTTCTTGACTCCTTTGAATCCAGGAACAAAGAAGAAGGATAAGAAAAATTAACAAACAAATCTACCATTCCTTATCCCAAGCAGAAGGCCACCTAAGTTTCAAAATGAAATTTCCCACAACCAAAGATAAAAAAGGACTAGACGGTGATTCATTACCTGCTAAAGGATTGGTTATAATCCCTTACAAAAATACATGCACAGGGAAAACTATTTAACCTTCCCGATCCTAACACCTAAACACTAGCATGTATTCACACTTTCACCTGTCTACTTGACACCTTCCTGCAGAGGAATAAAACTGCATTTAACATGTGCACTTGATAAAAATAAAATCCAACTCCCGTGCGCATGCATATACCAAAATGTCAGCAAAAAGTGAAATGCCCCAAACAGAAAGAAGCCCTCTAAAAAGAAATCCAGAACAGGAGGTGGAGACTCTGCATTCCTAACAGCTCTTTTCCTTCCCTTCTCTGTTCTCCAAAGTATTTCACTTCCCCAGAACAACCAAATCCACAAAACAGTAGCCCACTCAGGAACAAGCACACCTTCTCTGGGGCTGACAGCCAAATAACGGATTGCCCTGTGTTCAGCCGCTTTCTACAGCATTTGTACACCCAGACTGCCCTCTATCGTCCAAAATGGTCTCTACATCAACGTTGAGGGGTGGTCCTGGGGTGTTTGTCTCTTCTAGTTATAATTGTATTTCCAGACAGAAATTCAAAACTGACTTTAGATAATCACTTAAAGCAAAGAAGGCTTAGATTTAATCTTCTGGGGAAAAGGAGTCTAAGTGTCGATTTTCATAAATGATAATGTTAGCCTCTAACAAGTTGAAAACCAGCCTCAGGCTGTTCTCAGGCTAATACCTCAGGCTGTTACCTTTTCAGTAACAGTGATTTTAAGAGTTAAACACTAACTGTAATAAGACTGGTGATAGACATGTTTAAGTGAACTCTTAACAATCCTGCCCCTTGAGTATTGCCCAGGACCTTTACACTGGGCCCCAACTTTCTGCTTTCCTCAAATCCTTGAACCAAGCCCTAAGGGAGGTCCCTTAAGCAGCACCTCACGCCAGAGCTTTCCAAGAAAGCTCACACCAAAACGTTTCAGTCCGTGGATGAAAGGGCAGATAAATACAGTGAGTGAACTCAAAGTCACTCTCATGCAGTCACGGCCACTCCACACCACATCTGCCTATTTGGTTTTTCTAGAAGGAAGGAAAGGCAAGAGGGGCAAGTAACGAAGGAAGGCAGGCAGGCAGGGAGGGAGGGACAGACAGAAAGAACCCTACTGACGGAAACAACAGAAGGTAGATGAGAATCAGCATGCCCCCACTGCCCTCTATATCTCAGGCTTTGGGTACCACTTTCACGAATCGATGCTGCCTTTTCTCAGTAAGCTGTGCATCTACTTGTGGCAAACGCTCCTGAATGCAGAGAGAACTAGCACAAGCCAGTCACACCTTCAGGGGCTAGATGTGTTACATGCAGAATTGCACAGCCCAGAGCAGGAAAACAGTTTTAGAGGCTATGCCAGGACATAAGCCCTAACCGGTTTTCCACAAAAGATTAAGCACTTCTAAATCTTCATGAGGAAAATACCTAGGACAATTTTCTAGTTTAATACACAATTCTGATTACAAAGTATGCAGTAGATTTAGGAATATAATTTCACATGAACAAAAGGATCTTGCATTTACTTAATCCTCAGAAACCTATCACGATGACAGCCCCAAATATGCCTCCTACCTGTCTCTAGGGACATCCAGGGCTGTGTTATAATCTGGAGGACCTCCAGGCAACATGTTGAACAACAGGTGATTTGTACCTCGATCCCACCTGTCAAGAAATTTAAAATGTAGAAGAATTCAGGTGTCAACTATGAAGAGACAAGAGTCAGTTACTGGATAATGAGCAGCAAGGACCCCCATGCCCAGATAGGGCCACTTCTCAGGTATGCAAAGTAAACTCCTAGAAATCCCAACAGCACATCAGACACAAGTCTGGCTCCGTGATGGAATAAATGGACATGTACTTCACGCTTGTCCCATACAGAACTGCTTCTAATAATGAAAAGTTGAAAACTACACAAATGTTAACCATTTGGTTAAAGAAACAAAAAATAGTCTGGGCATAGTGACTCACGCCTGTAACCCCAGCACTTTGGGAGGCCAAGGCGGGCAGATCACCTGAGGCTGGGAGTTTAAGATCAGCCTGACCAACATGGAGGAACCCTGTCTCTACAAAAAACACCAAATTAGTCGGGCACGGTAGTGTATCCCACAATCCCAGCTACTCGGGAGGCTGAGGCAGGAGACTTGCTTGAATCCAGGAGGCAGAGGTTGCAGTGAGCCAAGATCGCACTATTGCACTCCAGCCTGGGCAACAAGAGCAAAACTCCATCTCAAAAAAAAAAAAAAAAAAAAAAAAAAGAAAGAAAAAGAAAAGAAACAAAAAAAAAATTAGAGAAGCCTGGCTAAATATATGATAGAACATCTGCAAAATGGAATACTACGCAACCCTTAAAAATTTGGAAATATATTCATGACATATTAAGGGAAAAAGGCAAAAGAGCATGTACTGTGACCCCATTTGGGACAAAACTTTATATACATATACACATGTATACGTATATTTTTAATAACATCAAAAGATTAATAATGTTTCTATCTTAGAGACAGGATTTCAGAATGAATCTTAGATTCTTCTTTTTTGCTTCCTGTATTTTCAGACTTCTTACAGTGAATGTGTATTATGTAAGTGCTAAGAGGAGTGGAGAGCATATTTAGATTTAAAAGGAAGAACACAGGAAGAAGAGCCACCCTTAGTTTGGAAACTCTAAGAGGCTGCGAACCCACAGCAGTAGTGCCGGAGACAGCAGACTACTCTTCACGGGCACACAGGCAGATGCTGCCACAGGCCTCACGCTGCAAGTCAGTCCCTCAAACACAACCCGTCCTGCAAGAAGACAGCATTGGGAAGCTGACTCAAGAGCAGAAGCATTCCCATCCTTCCCTTCCCTTTAGTTTCCCCAGGGCCATTCGAGAATCTCTTGGGCACTGGGCTGTGTGAGTGTGAGATACCTAGCGAGCTGGGCCAAGGCTTGTGCTGTCTCCTTGATGCGGAGTGTGTTCTGGTTAAGCACATCGATGGAGGGCACAAACAGGCAGGCCCGGTTGATGTCATCAGTGTAGTAGTCACTGTCTGAGATGGCTGTGAGCAGTTCATTATACTCCCGGGAGATGGTGTTGCTGACAGGGACACCGAAGTCATCCACGTACTTTTTCAGAGCATAGATATACACCTTGATTTTGTTCTTTGGGTTGAAGCCACAGCGGTAGACATCAAAACACGTGTGCATTCTGCAACTGAGATCCCCCCGCTCTGGGATGGGACTGTCGGCCGGCAGCCTGACCACCGGCACATCACGCACGCTGCGCTTCTCTACATTCCAGTCATTGGAGGACTCGATAGAATGGGGCCAGAACTGAAACATGCCGGTGGCAATGAGGCCCAGGAGGACGATGGAGAAGAGGGTGATGTAGTAGATTCGGTGCTTGGTCTTCATTCTTGGGATGAGGGCAGGACCCCGGATATTATACTTGACCGACGCACACATAATGACACAGACAGCCTCTTCCTCACACTCCTGGTCACCAGGGAGAGAAATAAGAAAAATCAAGTGTTTGGGATGGCAAATGACACTTGAAAAGACTATTAACCTTTTTTTTTTTTTTTTTTTTGAGGCAGGGTCTCACTCTGTCACTCAGGGTGGAATGCAGTGCTGCAACCTCAGCTCACTGCAGCCTCCACCCACCCACCCCAGGCTCAAGCGATCCTTCCACTTTAGCCTCTTGAGTAGCTGCGACCACCAAGCCCAGCTAATTTTTTGTATTTTTAGTAGAGAAGGGGTCTCACCATGTTGCCCTGTGTGGTCTTGAACTCCTGCGCTCAAGCCATCGGCCTGCCTCAGCCTCCTAACATGCCAGGGTTACAGGTGTAAGCCACTACGCCCAGCCTCAACTTTTAATGTACATGTTTCCTTCCCTTAACTGGTGTGGTGAAATAGCAAAAGGGATTTTGGACACTTCTTATAAACATATAGAAATATGTATCTAAACATGTGAATATATAGAGTACATTATTTAATACTTCATATATGTAATATAAATATCAATACATAATATAAAATATAACTATACCCTATCAATCAATATACATTCACTTAAAGCAGAAGCTGGCAAATGTGGGACTCCGGGAAGGAGGGCTCTGACCAAGGCAGAGAAATCAAAAGTAGAATAGCTAAAGACAGTTATTTTGTTTTATTTCAAAACACTTGCTTAATATAGAATAATGATTAACTGGACAAACTGATGCTTCATAATTCTAAAATCTGTTTTTGGCTGGGTGCGGTGGCTCATGCCTATAATTCTGGCACCTTGGGAGGCTGAGGAGGGTGGATCACCTGAGGTCAGGAGTTTGAGACCAGCCTAGCCAACATGGCAAAACCCCAACTCTACAAAAAATACAAAAATTAGCTGGGTGTGGTGGCATGCACCTGTAATCCCACCTACTCGGGAGACTGAGGCAGGACAATTGCTTGAACCCAGGAGGTGGAGGTTGCAGTAAGCTGAGATCGTGCCACTACACTCCAGCCCGGGTGACACAGTGAGACTTTATGTCAAAAAAAAATCTGTTTTCATTCACTTATTCATTGAAACCATTACTGAGCTCCCATCATGTACTGTGAAGGAAACAAAGATGAAAGCAAAGACCCTACTCTAATGAGGGAGAGAACACAAAACTATAAAAAAAGAACGTAAAAACAGCACTAGGAAAATATCGATAAAGTACAAAAGAGTATCAATAAGAAAAAAATTAATCTTCATCTTTAAATAAAATATACAGTGATGATTTGTAATGAAGGTGATGGTTGCATTTAGATGAATGGAAGAAATAAAGAAAAGAATGGGGCAGGAGAGACGGAGGGAGGAAGAGAAAGAGAGAGAGAGAAGGGAGATGGAAGAAAAGGGCCACTGTGGTAGATTCATTCACAAAGACAAACACCAACAATTTCTTCCATCCCTGAATTTGCATGGCACTTCTCCAAACAAAATGTAGAATCCATGTCCCCTCCCCATGAATCTAGGCTAGCTTTCTGATTTGCTTTAACCAAGAAAAGGTAGTTGAAGTGATATTCTGGGATTTCCGAGTGCAGGACTTGAGAGGCCCTATAGCGTCTGCCTTTGCACTCTTGAAATAAAGTTTCACAAGACAACATTTAAGCTGTGTACTGTGAGCATATGGTATTAGCCACAGAACATGCAATGAACCAGCCATTTTTCTATTCTGTTATTCTATGGCTTTTGAAAAAATTCTAGCCACAATCTACTGGGTCTATTATTACCCAATAATGGATCCCCCATAGTTTAAAAAATACTGTTTCCATACATAACAAAACTGAGGTTAAGGGAACAAAAATTGTATTCATACATGAGCTTTACAAATGTTTATGAGTTGCGGATTAACTATAAAAAAGACATATCACAACAAAATGAAACCAAAGATGACAAGAAAATAATAAATAAAAGCACAGAAATTAATTTAAAAAAACAAAACTAGAAATGGTCAACAAGGCTAAAAGTTGTTTTTTAAAAAAACAGTCTAATAAAATTCTGGTAAGATTAATCAAGAATTCAAAGAAAAAAAGGTGCAAATAAATACCTGAAAAGGGGAACACAACTCTAAATGCTGCATATATTTAAAAGATAAGCTGATATCAATGAACTTACGCCAGTAAATTTGAAAACTCAGATAACATGGAAAAAATTATTTTAAAATATACTTATCAAAAGCATTTCTAGGAAAAACAGCAACTCTGAGTAGTTCTATAACATTAAAGAAACCAAACCAAAAGTTTAAAAATCTCTCTATAAAGAAAATTCCAGGTCCAAAAATTTTTCCAAGTTCTACCAAATATTCAAGAAATGATCATTCCAATTTTCCACAAATTATTCCAGAGTTCAGAAAAAAAGAGGAAACACCCCAAAGCTCCTTTTAGGAGGCTAGCATAGGCTTCATACCAAACCCTTAGAACAGTGGTGCTTAAAGTATGCTTCAGGCACCCCAGGCGCTTTCAAAGAGTCACACTAGTTTAATACTGACATTTGCTTTTTTCACTTCCATTTTCCAGAGGCTACATGACTTTTGACACTGCAACAGACTGAATGTAGAAGCAGATATGACAATCCAACTATGTTCTGTTAAGTTTTTCCAAAAATGATAAAAGATACCAATTCACCATCTCAAGATGCTAAACTGAGCAGAATATATATACAAAGAAAATGCTACCTAGATGCATCAAACCCAAACTGCTAAAAAGAAAGTTAAAGAAGAATATTAAAAGCAGCCACAGGAGAAAAATCTATTCAAGGTAGATCTTAAAACTAAACATAAAAGGAAAAAGTATAAAATATTTAGAACACAATAGAGAATATCAATGACATCTGGCAGAGAATGATTTCCAAAGCAAAATACGAAAAGCACCAATCATTAAGAATTTTCCATCAAAAACACAGTAAGGAAGGAAAAAGGCAGGCTGCAAGCCTGAAGAATATATTTGCAGCTCGTATAACCAATAAAGACTTGCAACCAGAATAAACAACTGTATGAAGCAATAAGAAAAAAACAAACAAACAGAAAACCAGAGAAAATACACTTAAACAGGAATTTCACAGAAAAGGAAAAAAGGGCACTTCAACATATAAAAAGATGTTTAGTCTCATTAAAGTTCATAGAAAACCACAATGACATTTATACCCAACAGCAAAGGCAAATGAAAGGGTCAAACACCACCAAGTATTGTTGGAGGAGACATGGAACCACAGGAGCTGACTCCAGAGTTCCAAGTGGCCTCAGCAGAAGCTCTGAAGAAGAGGGAACTGATACCCACTATGTTAGAGTCTTAAACATCACATTTTACTTGCTACCTGTCATAGTTTGAGTCCCCTCACACACACTACCCCCTCCCTCCAAAAAAGACAGAGACAAAGACAGGAGTGCAAATAGTCTACTTACTTGGGAGGTGATCTCAGAAAGCCACAGTGAGGGAGCAAGGAGACATGCCACATGGCAAAGCCAATAAAGAGTGTGTTCTTTGGCTGGTTACTACAGTGTGCCACAGGGGCTCCTAAGGCTACCAGGGGCCCTTCTGAAGGCTCATTTAGACTACAGCTGATCCCTAAGCAGGATGGGAGGCTAGAGCATTTATCTGCAACACCTAGCCACTATTGATTGAGGGTTGCCTGGTACTGGTATCAGCTCGGACCCTATACCCAACAGCCCTATAAAGTTCTACATATCATATTTTCTTTGCTGAGCAGCTAGTCTAATAAAGATCTGCAGTTCCCTTGAGGAAGGATGGGAGAATGTCCATCTATACGTACAGGAATGTTGCAAGACCTTTCCCAAAAGAGATTCAGCCTCTCCTTGAAATTGAATTGAAATTCATGGGATATGAGTCCAAGAAGTAGCTCATATCTGAAAACGAGGTGAGAGATAGTGAGTTTTCCATTGTAGCAGCTGACATCAATCTTCTACTTGCCAGCTCTTAATTTTTTCTGTTTTACTGATTATACAGGTCAAGCAGCACCATGGCCAGCTGCCATCTTAGAAACACCATGCTTTATTCACACCATAGTGGGTCAAGATTCCCCAGCTGTGAGTCCAGCCTTGCTGCTCATTCTGGGCACTGTGTCTACTTTGTCTCTGATGGTTAACTGCCACCATCTGGTCTCCGCTACTTCAGAATCCTATCATCCTCATTGATTGTTGAAAACCCAGTTCCATAGTAACATCTTCGAAGGTCAGTCTTGTCCTACAGAGAACAGCCAACACTGAGCTCGAAGATTCAGGTCTCCTCACTGGGCATTCCATATTAGCAGAGTGAAAGGAACAGGCCCTCCCAGGAACATAGGCAGGAGGTACAAGTGATTCCTCCCTCAATACTCTGCCAAGATAGTTCTGATGCCTCCACCTCGTTTATTGCAGTCCAAAGTATCTTGACTTTCATTAGCACCATGACGTTTTAGGCCAGATAACTCTTTTTCATGGGGAGCTCTTCCGTACATTAGAGGTGGTTGAACAGCATCCCTACTCAGTAGAAGCCAGAAGCAACCCCCAGCTGCAAAAACCAAAAATATATCCAGACATTGCCAAATGTCCCTCGGGGAAGCAAAATCAGCCCTGGTTGCAAACCACTGGTATGGGTCACTGTTGTGTCCAACTTTGAGGAACCTGCCCAGCCTCATACAAGACTGGCTACAGCTGTCTGGCTAGGTCACCAAATCCTGAATCATGAGAGAATGCTTCCCTGTCAACAGGTTCTCTCCTCTGCAGCTTTATATTCCACCACTACATCTTCTTTGGTCTAAGACCCTAAGATTCTGCCCACCCCACCCCCACCGTGTTTCCCTAGTTTCTGTTGGTCCCTATTAGCCAGGTCCTGTACCTCCTTGAGAAACTGTCCTTTCCTGCTCAGGCAATGCTGAGATCTGAGGGGAGGGGAAGGCAGATCTTGAGGAGGACAAGGATCATACGGTGAGGCATCTGCCTCAAGTGAGAGCTCTGCACAGTGTCCAAGCAAGGAGAGACTGCTGTCCTCTGCATCAGAGAGGTGCATACCTCTACTGGCCCAGGGGATCTAAGAAAATCTGGGAATTCAAAGTTCTCATTGCCTCCGCCCAGATATCTCCATCCAGGTCCCAGGGTCTCACATCTTGCTACCATCACCCTGACTTTGCAGAGGCCACCTGTCAAGGCTGTGCATTCAGCTTCCTTTGCAGTTCTGCCACAAATATAATTAAATTCTGGGCCTGACCTTCAAGAGAGCCTAACCTCCAGCTGCAGGAGATGCGGCCACAGAGCCTTCCGTCTTTCACAGTGTACCTTGAGTTGATATCTGGCTGATCTGGGTGTGGCATTCTCTAACTTCAAGGCTTCTAAGGAAGATAACAAGGGCCAGTCAACTGCATTATCCTTATCATTACAACTGTCCATACACTGCTCAAGTGCTAGAGCTACCGTACTAGCCAATGCTTTTCTTCCACCTGAGTCCCATCCCGACCCACTGCCAGTGACAGTCACTACAACTGTGTTGTTAGAAAGCACCAGGGGTTACCAACACCTCACTAAATTAATACTAGTAGCAAAGGGGTCCTTGGTACCAACTGAGGGTGATTCCAGTTTCACAATTCTCACAGCCTGCTTTCTAGAGTCACTTCTAGTACCAACTGTCTTGGTTTGTGCTCTGCCAAACTAAGAGAGAACAACTTGAGCGCCAGTAGCTTGCAGAAGGTGAATCCAGAAAGCCAGAGTGAGGAAGTAAAGAGAGGAATCAGAAGGGCGCACACTTGAGCTGGTTACCAGACTGAGCCAGGCCACAGCACCCAGTCCTTCTAGGATCTTTCTGGAGAAGCACAGAGAACATACCTCAGAGCTGTACCTTTGGAGGATGGGAAGCCACATCATTCAACCACCAAAGCCCACCCCACAACGGCTGAGGCACACCCCCAGACATATAAACTCCTCCACGCTTGTGAAGTGTGTCGACACAAGCTAAGTGAACTCCCACACATCTGTATCAAACTCTGAGGAATAAAAGCCGAGAGATATGGCAAGCACTTGAGGTGGAGTAAACAATAAAAGAAATGAGAGGGGAAGGATGAGAAATGAAAGGGGAAATGCCCCTTACTAAGCAGTGCTTTAGAGAGGATCTTCTCTGTGAGCACCCCCATCACCTTGTATACACTTCATTCTAGCACTTGCCACATTTTATGAATTGGTTATGTGTAAGTCTGTCTCTTCTACTGGTTGTGATTTTTCCTGTAATCAGTTATTCATCTCTGCTCCGTATTCCCAGCACCTAATACCAAATCTGGAACATATATTTAAGCCAGGCACAGTGGCACACACCTGTAATCCCAGAACTTGGGGAGGCTGAAGCAGAAGGATCACTTGAGTCTAGCAATTTGAGACCAGCCTGGACAACATGGCTAGACCCTGTCTCTACTAAAAAACACAAAAAAATAGCCAAGTGTAGAGGTGCACAAATATACTCCCAGCTACTCAGGAGGGTTTCTTGAACCCGGGACGTTGAGGCTGCAGTGAGCCACAACTGCATCACTGCCCTCAAGCCCAGGTGATAATGGAGACCCTGTCTCCAAGGCAAAAAAAGAAAACAGAACATATTTAATACAAACATAAACATTTGTTGAATGAATAAATGTCTCTATTCTTCCCAGCTCCATAGATACATACAGTTTAGCATCTAAGTTTTGAGTTATTATATGTGACGACCTCTGATTATTATCTTTCCTAAATAGGAAGGAATTTCCAAAGGAGGAGGGGGAATGACTAATTTCCACAGACTGAATTTTCTGTAACCATCCCTAAACACCCTCCCTTCCCACCACACAAACATATCTAAAGAGCACCATTACTCTCACCACCCCGGCCTTTATAATCCTGTGCTACACTGGACCCCTTTTGTAAAACTGCCAACCTAGACTGAAGTCACAGCGCTCCTGACTCAGGACACTCCAGCCTTACCCTGTAACACACAGAACCCATCCTCCCAGCAACAGTTTTCACATGCTCAAACACAAAGAGATGGAATATCTCCAACCCATCATCCAAGGAAAGAGGTCATAATCTTTCTGTCCAATGAGACTGCTCCCTGCCACCAAGAAGTTGAAAGCCCCGGAAGACGGCAGACTGAAAGGAATCTTCTGCTAATGAATGTTTATTCCATACAATACCATAACCTGGATCAAACCAAGAATTTCAGCCCTACAAACTTTAACACTTTGAAACACATCAAACCTGCCCCTGCAAAACACTGGAATCATCTGGCTAGCTATCAAGCACTGAGTCACTGGAAAAGTCTTTTAACCCCAATCTATTGTGAGGATGAGATGCATTTTCTGTTCCTGGAATTATTTATTCCTAAAATTTGCTTGAATAACCTCTCCTTGGTGCTTCAAGTTATAGCCAATCCACTTAGTCCGATGTTTTGAGTCATGGTCTCTTGTCTTAACCTTTACATTTTATTATTATTATTATTATTAATTTTATTTTATTTATTTATTTTTTTTTTTTTGAGACAGAATCTCACTCTGTCACCCAGGCTGGAGTGCAGGGGAACAATCTCAGCTCTCAGCAACCTCTGCCTCCTGGGTTCAAGCAATCCTCCCGCCTCAGCCTCCCAAGCAGCTAGGATTACAAGTGTCTGCCATCACACCTGGCCTTTTTTAAATTTTTTTTTTAATTTTTAATTTTTTATTTTTTTGTATTTTTTGTAGAGATGGGGTTTCACCATGTTGGCCAGGCTGATCATGAACTCCTGCCTTCAAGTGATCCGCCTACCGCGGCCTCCCAAAGTGTTGAGATTACAGGTGTGAGCTACCACACCTAGCCTCTTCTTAACCTTTTTAGAAAGGTCCTTACAGCTGAACTCCCCGGGCCACAGTTACACTGGATCTTAACCCAACCATTCCTAAAAACAGAGGAACCAAATATAATAAGCAAAAGGAAAAAAAGGCCACAATTCATTGCTTACTCAATAGGATTCTTTATAATTAAAGTTATGTTATGGCTAAATACCCCTAAAATTATTTTCAATTAAAAACCATGCCCTTTTAATTGTGAGAATTATAATAATATGTGCATCATTAAATAATTATTATCTAAACCTTACTGAGCACTTACTACATGCCAAGTCTGTTTTAGGCACTTAATAGTCTTATTTAATATTTATAATAGCAGTATAAGCCAAGCTATTATTACCTTCATTTTACAGATGGGGATAGTACAACAGAAAGTTTAAGTACCTGGCCCAATGTGACACAACTAGAAATGCCAAAGCTAGGATTCACAGCACAGCAGTCTGGCCCCAGAGTTGATTATCCATTTATACCCTCACATGCAACCAGGAAGCTTAAGTCGGGGAAAGTGAATGATGGAAACGGCATCGTCTATTTTATTACCGTGAACGGCCTTTGAGTTCTGCGCGTTACAAACTAAGTCCAGTGAAAGTGCTTAGAGCACTTACCTGACTTACAAGAAGAATTTAAATGGACATATGTCAAGACCACATCTTCACACAAACAAGTCAAGAACCTTTCTAGATTAGCACTGCCCAATCAGTAACACCAAGCAATTCTTTCATTCTCAAAAGTGTGTGTTTAGATCTGGTTCCCACTGCCTGTAACAAAGCCCCAAACACCCCTGGGCTTCGAGGCGAAGGCCAGAACCAGTGTGTTCTTGGCCACCTAGTCTCCAAGCTAACATGCCCCTGACCCCAGCCCGACACACCCCCAGGACACGTGGTCCCCGGCCTAACATGCCACCAGCCACTCAGTCCCCAGGCTAACATGCCCCCTCCCCCCTAAACACACACACACACGCCCCAGCAACCCAGTCCGATGTCTAACACGCCTTCAACCACCTAGTTCGTCCCTGGCCCAACATGCCCCCGGCCACCCAAGCCCCGGCCGAACATGCCCCCGGCCACCCAGTCCCCGACCACTTAGTTCCCGGCCACCTAGTCCCGGGCCACCCCGTCCCCAGCCTAACAGGCCCCTGGCCCCTTCCCTGAGGCGCAGGACGTCCCCATGGGAGGAATCAGATCCCTGTGGCTGGCGGGAAGGTGGCAGCAGGAAGGGAGGAGAGGTCACGGCAGAGGGCGGAGGTTAAAGGGCGGGTCGCGGGAGGGCAGAAGGGAGCGCACTGGGGGCGAAGGTCGGCGTGGAGGACAGGTGGGTACCAAGATGCTGCAGGCGCGGCCGCGGCCGGGGGCCAAGGAGGAGCAGGCGTGGAAATCGGAGCGCTCCAAAAGCGGGCAGTCATTGTCACAGCCCCGGCGGGGCGGGGGGTGACCGCTCGCAGCCCACGGGCCTCCACCGAGCCACCCCACGGCCGCGCTCCCTCCGCCCGGGTCCCGACCCAGCCGCGGCCCCAGGAGGCCGGATCCCCCGCCTCGGCGCCCGCCTGGCCGCCGCCCTGACGCGCCGCGCTTACCTCAGCCACGGCTGCCTCCCGCTCGGCCCCGCGCTCGGTCACCGGCTCATGCCGCGGGGCGCGGGGCACCTCCGCCCGGGTCTGATCGCGCCGAATCGCCAGCCGCCACCGCCAGGGCCGAGTCTACTAGGGGAGCCCGCAGCCAGCGCCGGGCAGGCCACCGGGCTCCGGGGCGTCTGACACCAAGCGCACTGCGCATGCGGGAGCGGCCGGGGCCGCGCCCCCTGCTGGACAGGAGGAGTCAGGGCACCGCTGCAGTGTTTTCCCAGGCAGGCGCGCGAAGCTCAAGCTCCGCAGTGAAACAGCCCCATTCATAAAGAATCCGCAAACCCAAAGGAGACACCACACTAAAACTAACAAATATGTAGACGTTTTCTTATAATCAGTGCTGGTGAGCGTACAACATTCCTGGAGGGCAATTTGGTACTATCCATCACATGGAAAATGCTGGTACCCTTCGTTCCAACAAACCCTCTGTATAGTTTGTTCTATGGATATTCTCAACAACGTTTGTCAAAAATTTCCATGACAGCATTCTTTCTAATCATAGCCAATGCTAGATACAATCGAAATAAATTATGGAATTTGATTCGACTGGAATAAAGTCAGAGAGTGCAATATATATGGGTAAGGAAATATCTCCAAGACATAAACAGCAGGCAAGTCTGATCACTTTTAGGTAAAACATGCATATGCAAAAACAAGAGAGAGAAATATGTAAAGCAGGTGCTTATACTCAGGCATGTGTATAACTTTTTTCTGGAAAGAATGCAAGAAGAAATGAACAGCTTTAGGTGGATTTGTCAAGGCAGAAATGGAAGCATTTATGGCCATGCAAGGTGGCTCACCCCTGTAATCTCAGAATTTTGGGAGGCCTAAACAAGAAGATCGCTTAAGCCCAAGAGTTTGAGTTCAGCCTTGGCAGCAGAGCAAGACCCTGTCTCTACAAAAACTAAAAAATTGGCCAGGCATCGTAGCACCTGCTTTTAGTCCCAGCCACTCAGGAGGCAGAGGCAGAAGAATTGCTTGAGCCAAGGAGGTCAAGGCTGCAGTGAGGTGGAGTCGTGCCACTGCACTCCAACCCGGGCGACAGAACGAGACCCTGTCCCGCTGCAAAAAAAAAAAAAGACAGCATTTTTGTGTTGTATCTTTCTGTATTGTTTACATGATTTAGTCCTATAGGTGCACAGTAAAACCGCGGTCATAAAGCAGGAAGTGAAGTCTAAGACATTAGATTTAAATTTAAATTCAGTGTGATGTCGTTGAGAGGTTAATGAAATGACCCCTGGGCCTGGTAGAGCTGTGGGTCTGGCTGCAGGAGCCAGCTCCTTTCTGGTCCCAGATGTACTTTGGCGCCATCTGGTGGAAGTTGTCACTGACAGCTTAAATATTCGTGGGGATGATTCTGATTCTGAGACTAGATAATAAATGAGGCTTCCGGCAGCAAGCGTGATTCCAAGGATATTTTTGTGAATTTAATACCTGCTTATCACATATCTGGGAAGATTGGGATGAGAGCATTCTGGGAAAAAGACATTCATGTTCTGCTTCTCCACATCCAAGGGAGCATTACTCTGCTCTCCAAATCCAAATCCCCCTTGCAAAAGATACGAAATTTAGCACACATCCACCCCATTTGAGAACTGGACGGGTGGAGAGCAGTGACAATCACCCGTGGACGGGTATCCAAATTTCTCTTATCCCAGGGAATATTGTTTTTACTTTTTTAAATAAGTCAACAGCAGCTATCTGGGCTGGAAGACTGTGGCCTCTTTTTTTCTTCTCCATATTTATCTGTATTTTAAAGCACATATGTTTTTAATTAAGCCCTTGTTATTTTATAAAATGAGAATCCGCCATGTTAAAGAACTATGTGAGGCATGAGGAACGCTGCCTATCTTATTTGCTTTATATAACCTTAAACTTGCCTAATGCCTGGGGTATAGTAATTGCTCAATAATTATTTGTTGGAGAAAGGATGCCTAGATATTGAGAGGAGCTACCTAGAAATAAGACGATAAGATTCTTCAAAGCAGAAGGTAAAAAGTGGCATAGGAGAATATAAACAAAATGCTACGGAATTCAAAAAAGAAAGAGGTCACATCCAATTGGAAAGATTTCAATCAACAGTTGATATCTTTGTTAATCCTGGAGGATACTTATGATCTTGACAAGCAGAGAGGTGAAAAGGGCGTTCCAGTTAGGGGGAAAAAAGTCTTGAGCATGTGTTAAAGAAGAAAAAGCAGCTGGGCAGAGTGGCTCACACCTGTAATCCCAGCACTTTGGAAGGCTGAGGCAGGAGGATTGAGAACACAAGTTCAAGACCAGCCTAGGCAACAGAGTGAGACCCTCCCCCAATCTCTGCAAAAAATAAATAAATAAATAAATAAATAAATAAATAAATAAATAAATAAAAATAAAGAAGGAAAAGCAATCAGAAAGAACAAGTGTTTTTCAATCCAGTGTGATTTACACAGTGTGGCTATATCTCTAGGCATAGAAACCATGCAAGTAATGGACGTGGGAAAATACAGAAGCTGTGAAATTAGAAGCTACGTGATGCAAAAGTATCCAAGGATGACTTCAGAGAGGAGCAGGAAATAAATTATAAGCCAGGACCTGAAAGTTTCATAGTTAACAAAAGTCCAAATTTTATCTTCTTTATCCTCTACCTGAACATAATGACCTCAGAACAGTGAGCTCTTACTACTTTACTTTCATCTCATGCGATATTGTTGACTGGTCTGTTAGTTACATCTAGAGTTTTTTTGTTTTGTTTTGTTTCGTTTTGAAATAGAGTCTCCAAGATGGAGTGCAATGGTGCGATCTCGGCTCCCTGCAACCCCCGCTCCGGGTTCAAGCAATTCTCTGGCCTCAGCCTCCTGAATAGCTGGGATTACAGGCATGAGCCACCATGCCTGACTTGACAGAAGAAGACAGATCTTGGCTTCTGAGAAGACAGAAAAGCAACTTAGTAGTTGGTGGTTGAAGGAGGAGAAGCTGTAGAAAGATTCTGCACTACTGAATTTGAAGGTACAGGGCAAAGCAAAGATAACACAGATACCCCCTTACCCAGTAAGTCAGAAAATGTGAAAGTCAGGGTTAGAAAGGGAATGGCTTTCATGGAAAATAACGTCATCAGGGGAAAGCGAGTTTCCAGTTAGGAGGAATAGCTGGTGTCGGGCTGAATCCCATATTTAGCACTTCCTCTAAATAGAGTTGGTTCCTGAGCAACACAGGTTTAAACTTTGCAGGTCCACTTCCAGGAAGACTTTTTTCTATAAAAGTGACATCAAGTGTGCCTGCTTCTCCAGGTCCCTTTCCACCTCTTCTACCTATCTGCCTCTGCCACTCCTGAGACAGCGAGACCAGTCCCCCTTCTTTCTCCTCCTTAGCCTACTCAACATGAAGCTGAAGAGGATGAAGATTGTTATGATGATTTACTTCCACTTAATGAACAGTAACTATATTTTTCTTCTTCTGATTTTCTTAATAACATTTTCTGTTGCTTACTTCATCATAAGAATACAGTATTTAATATACATAACATACAAAATATGTTTAATAGACTATTTACATTATCAGCAAGGCTTCCAGTCAACAGCAGGCTATTAGTAGTTAAGTTTTGAGGGAGTCAAAAGTTATGAACAATTTTTCAACTGCTTAGGGGATTGGCACCCCAACCCCCACATTATTCAAGAGTAATAGAGGTATATAAGAATGGAAAAAGGTAGCCGGGCATCGTGGCTCACGCCTCTAATCTCAGCACTTCGGGAGGCCGAGGCAGGTGGATCACCTGAGGTCAGGAGTTCAAGACCAGCCTGGCCAACATGGTGAAACCCTGTCTTTAAAAAAAAAAAAAAAAGAAAGAATGGAAAAAGGCATATTCTTTTTTTTAAGTCCTGGGGTACATGTGCAGAATGTGCAGGTTTGGTACATAGGTATACACGTGCCATGGTGGTTTGCTGCATCCATCACCTCATTATCTACATTAGGTATTTCTCCTAATGCTATCCCTCCCCTACCCCTCTGTCCCCTGCTATCCCTCCCCTAGCCCCCAACCCCCTGACAGGCCCCAGTGTGTGATGTTCTCCTCCCTGTGTTCATGTGTTATCACTGTTTAGCACCCACTTACGAGTGAGAACATCTGGTGTTTGGTTTTCTGTTCTTCTCAGTTACCTGAGGATGATGGTTTCCAGCTTCAACCATGTCTCTGCAAAGGGCATGAACTCATCCACAAAAGGCAAATACTCTAAAGAAAAGGGCTTCATAATGTAATTGATCCGTGGGATCTTAGTTTGGCTCAGCTTAAAATAGTACTGGCAGGCAGGATGGCAGGCTAGACAACACCTAACTGGGTGAAATATAAGGAATACCTTCTCAAGTACATAGCTGAGTTCACACATACAAAAAGTAAGAAAGTATACAAAGTCAAAAATGAAGCTGAGATAATAAAAATGGCATTGAAGCTGCAGCTGTTTGGGGTATACAAGGTTTGGAGCAGATACAAAGAAATCCATAAAGCTGGGTCTTAAAGAATTATACCCAAAAGAGAATACTAGAAACATCAGCTCAACATCCACCAAAGAAACTTATCTGTCTTGTCCAGGGAGTGGAAAAAGAAAAGAGTCTCACTGATGATTTTTAATACTCATGTCTCAGTCAGTTCCGGCTGCTATAACAAAAATACCCTAGACTGGGTGGCTTAAACAACAGCAATTTATTTCTCCCAGTTCTAGAGGCTGGGAAGTCCAAGATCAATGTGCTGGCCAGTTGGTTCCTGAGGAAGGCTCTTTTCCTTGTTTGCAGATGGTTACCTTCTTGCTGTATACTCATACGGTGAAGAAAAAGACCTTTCTGTGTCTCTTCTTGTCAGGGCACTAATCTCACTCATGAGGATTCCATCTTCAAGACCTAGTTATATCCCAAAGGCCCCACCTCCAAATATCATCACACTGGGGATTAGGACTTCAACATATGAATGAGCCGGGCGCGGTGGCTCAAGCCTGTAATCCCAGCACTTTGGGAGGCCAAGGCGGGTGGATCACAAGGTCAAAAGATTGAGACCATCCTGATCAACATGGTGAAACCCCGTCTCTACTAAAAATACAAAAAATTAGC